TCGAACATGTCTACTCTGAATTTTCTGGATTATAGTATTAATATTTTTCATTTATACACAACGAGATTGCCACTTTTCCTAAGGATTAAGAATAAAATTAATTTGTGAAAGTGCAAGGATGTGTCAATCAAACCCGCCAAAAAATTTGAAATTTTAATATCTTTTATATGAAATAAGATTTTTAATTAATTTTTGTGTGAAATGCCATTAAAATATATAAGTCGTAATATTATAGAGAAAATAATAACTTCAAATCTGTGTCCAAGTACCTTTAAAGGTGTATTCCTTGTAACAAGACGTTGGGTGCAAAATTTTTTTTAAGCTCTACTGGTCAAAGACCAGAAGAACTTATGCGATAGTTAGGTTACCGTCGTCCGTCCGTCTGTCTGTCTAGCTGTCCGTCTGTCTGTCTGTCCGTCTGTCTGTAAACAATTTTTCAAAACGCTACTTCTCCTACAGTTTTGGTCTGAATTTAATATAACTTGGCACACAAAGAGACTACACTAAGATACATAAAATAGTGCATCGGTTCTTGATTTCGATGAACGGTGTTGCCATGGTTACTAAAAATAGAATTTTCTGTGAAATTCCTTTAAAATGCTACTCCTCCTACAGTTTTGGTCTGATTTCAATATGACTTGGCACACAAGTAGACTACACAACGATACATATAATAGTACATCGGTTTCTGAATTCGATGAACGGTGTTGCCATGGTTACTAAAATAGAAATGTCTGTGAAATTCCTTTAAAACGCTACTCCTCCTACAGTTTTGGTCTGATTTCAATATACCTTGGCACACAAGTAGACTACACTAAATAAGAAACATTAAATTGTGCGTCAGTTTTTTTTAATTTCGATGAACGGGGTTGCCATGGTTACTAAAATAGAAATGTCTGTGAAATTCCTTAAAAACGCTACTCCTCCTACAGTTTTGGTCTGATTTCAATATACCTTGGCACACAAGTAGACTACACTAAGAAACATTAAATTGTGCGTCAGTTTTTTTGATTTCGATGAACGGTGTTGCCATGGTTACTAAAAATTGAGATGTATGTGTGATTCCTTTAAAACGCTACTCCTCCTACAGTTTTGATCTGATTTCAATGTAATTTGGTACACAAGTAGACTACACTAAGATACATAAAATAGTGCATCGGTTTTCGATTATGATGAATGATGTTGCCATGGTTACTAAAAATAGAAATGTCTGTGAAATTCCTTCGAAACGCTACCCCTCCTACAGTTTTAATCTGATTTCAATAGAACTTGGCACACTAGTAGACTACACTAAGATACATAATAAAGTGCATCAGTTTCTGATTTCGATGAACAGTGTTGCCATGGTTACTAAAATAGAAATGTCTGTGAAATTCATTTAAAACGCTACTCCTCCTACAGTTTTGGTCTGATTTCAATATAACTTGGCACACAAGTAGACTACACTAAGACACATAATATAGTGCATCGGTTTTAGATTTCGATGAATGATGTTGCCATGGTTACTAAAAATAGAAATGTCTGTGAAATTCATTTAAAACGCTACTCCTACAGTTTTAATCTGATTTCAATATAACTTGGCACACAAGAAGACTACACTAAGATACACAAAATAAAGCATTGGTTTCTGATTTCGATGAACGGTGTTGCCATGGTTACTAAAATTAGAATTTTCTGTGAAATTCTTTTAAAACGCTACTCCTCCTACAGTTTTGGTCTGATGGCAATGGCTTCTTTTCTCATCCTTTGTTATAAATACAAACTAGAAGAGCTACAGTCTCGACAGAGACTTCTGGTCTAAATTATGGCCTTAAGTTTGACATGCATTTGAGAGAATTCGACCCTCGCCATAAGCTGCCATACAGGGGCACCAGTGTTTCACATATCTTGTTTCCTCTGTTTCTTATAGAGACCATTGTAATTAATGTGAGTAAACGACACTAAGCAAGCCACGTGCATAGATTTCTTGAACAACAGCTGATCTATTCTGCCTAAAAAGTGCTGCTAGAATCCCTCTGTCCCGTCTGTAAAATTATTATTTCACTCATTCGCACGAAACCCTACCCGATGTTTTGAATTTTTTACATATGAACCGAGATTTTTCGTAAAACAATACTTAACTCGGGACTCTAGCAGCACTTTCCAAGTATTTTAGGAGGCAAACTTTCCATCTGTACAAAGCTTATGTCTTGAAACATACAGCTTATTGTTGTTCTGTTGCATATTTTTGTCACAAATATCAGAGGAAAGGCCGACCGGGATACGTATATAGCTGACTGCCTTCGAAAGAGAATATAATCGATAAAGATAAATTAGCATACCCGTTTTATTAACTGAGCTCCATATGAATTTCACAAAATATTCACGATATTTGCTTTTAAACTCCATTTTACGTATCTTTGTACATATGGCGTCTAAGCCAAATTCTCTTTACACGACATTATCAATTCCTAAGTTACTTGATGTACACATATGACGTCATCGGTGGTATATTTTAATCAAAATGACAGAATACAACATAACGAAATAAGAACATTTTATTTTTATTAATGTTTACACGTTTCTATTCATTTTCTAGAGTTAAATTACATCTCTAAATACCAATAAATTCAATTTTACAAAAATTTGTGTTCTAAAATTGACGTCATCTCGTCTACTATGACGTCATAATGTAGCACTGATTTAGTCAAGGTAGAATATTTTGTATGCTTCCTTACTCCCCCTGCGTATCACTTATGCATACAATGACATATTCATCTATAATACAATATTTAACATATTTAATTTTACTTTGAAAGAAATGTGGCCCCCCGCTTTCGGTGTCTTTGTGGGTGATATGTCTTTTTATCTCATATGTGTTGGTGATACAGGCCGTTGGATAAACTTATGCTTTATCAACGGGTAGATGCTTTATCAATAGCACTTCCGGTTTTGACACGATCCCTCGCTTTAAAATTTTATTTGAAACTTTTATTTGCGATCCCTATTATTGTCTTAATAAAATGAATGATAAAGAGCGATAATATCGTTAAAAGCCAGAAAAAGACTCGTATATGTCAAAGAAGTGTCTTATTTTATCAAGGAACCTGAACTGGCTACTTGAAGACAGATGTATGTTAACCACCACCACCCCCCCCCCTCTTTTAAATCGTTTTCGGAGAAAGCCTAGCAGTTACTGTAAGTTGTTGGTATAAGATTCCTTTAACATCTACAATAATGCTTTCTTATATTATACTACGTATGCCTACCTAGTAATTTAGGTGTAACTTACCATGTATCAACAATGAATTTACAAATAGGCCCCTAGCCTTGCCATACATGTTTTGTACTGCCATCGTCCAAAGACTTCATTTTCACGATCCCATGGTCCTTACAACTTTCAGTCAGAAGCTCGTTTGATGTAAAGCTCCAGCAATTGTCACATAATGTTTCCAAAGACGCAGAGAGCAAAAATTCTAAATTTTGAACACGATCTACTTTCTTTCAAGGGATGTCAACATCAACGGTGCTACGTCATCAAGTTATACGTCATCAATTTGAAATTGCAATCATTCATGTAGTTTCGCAGGGGACGTCTCAAAGTTTTGTTAAAACGAAAGTCGTATGAGATAAATAGAACATCTATAATTGTGTGATTTGATATTGGCTTTATCCAACTCGTTGAAATGGTGTATATTCGCTCGGCAAGCCTCGCGAATATATACACCATTTCAACTCGTTGGATAAAGCCAATATCAAATCACACAATATAGATATCCTCTATTTAATTTTGTGCCAAATATGAACGCCCTTTCATATGTCAGTCAGAAGTTATCCCCAAAGTTGATTTTTTTTTAATAAGAGTCAGTTGTGAAGGTCAAGGGGTCAGCAATCAAAGCATGGTCGTAAATACGATCGTATCTTGTTACAAGAAATCCATAATATGTCAAATATGAAAGCTCTATCTCATCTCAATCAAAAATTATAAGGAAAACATTTGAACATTGAACATTTTTGAAAATTATTTCAAACTTCAAGGACAAGGTCACAAGATCAAAAATCCTAGTGTATTTAGAAAGGCCTTGTCACAAGCAATAAACAGGTTTAATATTAAAGGCCTATGTCTGCTTGTTTAAAAGTCATGAGCAAGGTTAAAAATTTTGAAAAGATGGTCAAAGTTCAAGGTCAGGTTCATGAGGTCAAAAATCATAGTGTATTTAGAAAGGTCTTGCCACAAGCAATATACAGGTCTAATATGAAAGCCCTATCTTTTCTCATTCAAAAGTCATGACTAAGGTGAAACTTTTTGAAAAGTAGGTCAAACTTTTAGGTCAAGGTCACCAGGTCAAAAGATTAGTGCATTTAGAAAGATCTTGTCACAGATAAAACACTTCTTCAACATGAAAGCACTTTCATTCAAAAGATATGGCCAATTAAATGTAATGTTTAATTTTTTTTAAAAGTAGGTCAAACTACAAGGACAAGGGGTAAAAAATCATAGTGTAAAGAAATGTCTTGTCACAGGTAATATACATGTGTAATATTAAAGACCATTCTCTTCTTTCATTTTTTTTAATGAAAAGTAGATAAAATTTAATTTCATGTATCATGAGGTCAAAAATCAGTCTTGCATTCGAAATTAAATAACGTGAAAATTATGAAAGACCTGCTTCCTTACTCGGTATATAAAGTGCCAAAGATATTGGTTACTTAAAAAAATTTAGGGCGAATACGTCAAAGTTCAAGGTCATCCTGGCGAGAGTCAATAGGTACTAGGCCCTATCTTCTTATTTATAGTTTGAAAAATGTTAAATTTTCTTATGACAGACGATTGAGATTTTTAATATCCCTAGCTTTAGCGAAATGGGGAATCATAAAAAGGTATTAAATATCACAATAAATATTGGTTTAGCATAATTTTTCGTATTTAATCTAACAGGCAATCAAAGCAAAAAAAAGATATAATATAATGCATACAATGTACATCATTCATTAGTTACTCAGTCAAGAAAGAACAAATCATTTATCCACATAACAGACTATGTTTTATATATAACAACCTTCATTCGGTCACTCCTTTCGCTGCCAGTTCTAATTGTACCTGCTTTAGATAAGTGGGATCTGGATATCCATGCCTATAAAAAATAATATATTTTCTTTAAAGCAGAAATTAAAATAAAGTAAGTAACATTTTTAGCTAAAGGTATTAAAGCACCTTTCATTCAAGTTTAATTATTTTCAGCGATGTGGTGATAACGAACAGTATTCGAATTCAAAAGTCCATGAAACGTTACCAAATGGGATATGTAATGATAGTACAATTTTCTGTCATCATTGGACTTTCAGTAAGGCGTGGCATTCTCGATGCTACGTAATTAGTGTCTCTCAAATAGCGACATAGATTCTCATTGGTTAAGAAATTAATTACATCAGCAACTCTAAATTGTTGATGAAAAGGATGAGACGATTGAAGCCCACCTCTTTCCAGTACGAAACGCTATCATTGGATACTCGCTACACTCGTTGTTATTCGCCCAAATTGCTATCTCATGTATAATTCAACAAAGAATGAAAGGCTGTGAAAATTTCAACGCTAATTATGTAACATCGAGAATACCACGCCTTACTCAAAGTCCACGGGTAACAGAGCATCTTAGAAATCACTGGCGGATTTAGAGGATGTCCGCCCCTCCTTTTGTTTCCAAAATATACATAAGATTAAAGAAATAATTTTTTTTTGCTGGGGTTATGGGCCACTGCCCCAATCCCAAACTGCCTCCCCCTTTTCAAGATTCCTGGATCCGCCACTGGAAATGTGCTGTAAATAATTCACATTTCAAAGAAAATGGCAGGATCCTTACAAGAACCATGCCCTATCCAAATATACTTATGATTTATATTTATTATTTTAAAATGCTGGTAAATACTCATTTTATTTAAAAACTGACTTATTGAAATTGAATGACATTCAAGTTCTTTGATTTTCTCCTAAGCATACTCAGTCTTTGATTTTCTCCTAAGCACACTCAATTTTATAAAAGTTCTGTATAATAATTGTTGCCAAATTTTTTTGAATCAATTGATTAACGCTTAATCTAATTTATAGTAAGGAAAGGGAACTGCAAGATAGATGTATAGAGTTTAATATCAAGAATTTTATATATACTTTGTTGATATACATGTACCAGCAATTTCAATCAGAAAGCGAAGTTGTGCAATTGAATATTAATTTTGGATAAATCAGTTTCTCTGAAAGGTAAATGTAGGCTTTTTGGTGCCCCCTTCCAATTTTCAAGATAAGGTGTTCAACTAAAAAAAATGCACTTTATATTAAATCTTATTGTGCTTGAAATAACAGGAATAAATCACAACAAAATGACGAACGCTAGAGCTCCTTTGTTTCGTTGGGTTTTATGCTGGATGCCATTCCAGATGATGACATTGTCCCTTCCTGTGGTTAAAGAAGACCCAATGGTAAAGGTGAGCCGTCGGTCGAACGCCTTTTGTAGGAGTCTCAAGACTGTTTGTCCTTCTGTGTTGTCTGGAAGATAAGCTTTTCTCTCTGTTCCCTCATAAGGCAGCCCTGGGTGGGGGTGTTCAGGCTTTCGTAAAGTAAATATACACTGTATGAGATTATATATACTAAAACTCGTATGATTTGTCATCTACTACTGGGAAAATCAATCATGAACTTATTTTTTAATGTAAACCTAGATTGTGTTTTGTCAATTGATCTTTTTCAAGCAATACTACTGATGTTTATCTGTGATACTGTATGCAAAGACTTACAGTATAATTGGTCATATACTCACCCCTTGAATTCCATCTGGAAAATGGTACGTTATTATTATAATTCCATGATTTTCGTATCCTGGCAAAGAGGAAAACTTCTCAATTTTACATTTCATTGTTCCGTTTTCAGGTTGGTTTCCTTTAACACTATTATGTCTGTGTTCTTTGAGTGTCAAGGGTGGTTCCCCTGATTGCCTCAGCTGATCCCAAGTCCTTGCTCTTTGCGAGCTGAAATCTTCAGATAAATGGTTATATGTCCTCTCAGACTCCGCCATGTTACTTCTTTTGTTAACATTTCCCGAGTTGCTCCTGAAGTGCGACGCATGCGCAGATTTGCAAACATCAATACGGATATTATTTTCAAAAGCATCAATGAGGGAAGATGTAATTTTCGTGTTATGGTTGACAAGATGTATCTCTTCAATACTGCAGGTATGTTCTCTTTCGAAAGCAAATTTTGAAAAAATGGAGAACCAGGCCTGGCAACATTTTTGGAGATCAGACATTTCCTTTTCAATAAAACCTAAATGAAAGTAAAAATATCATCGACATTAACCCTGTTCACGCACTTATCGATTTATATAAAAAAAAAAATAAAATTTGTTTTTTTCCCAAAAAATCACCAACCTGCTCCAATGAGCGGAATGGCAACTTTTTTCCAGGACCGAAAATTTATCTCATCAATCAAATTCCTAAGACAAGACTTGTACTCTTCCAAAGTGCGGTCCTGTGTAGAGGATAACTGATTAAGAACCAAATGCATCACATATTTAGCTCCAAGTGCTCCTCCCCTGCATTGGAATACATCACCTAATTTTGCCGTACGTTTTCCTCTTTTCATACTTTGAAAGTCGTTTTCATATTCTAAACCGCTAGCCTTTCTGACTGCCTCTGCCAAATACCCAGCACCTGATAAAAAACTGTCAGCGCTTATTACGATAGCATCTCCATGGAACTTCAAAATACTTCCAGTGTAAATCTTGACAATTAATCCATTACTAAACTGAAAACCATTCACGGGAACGTGGCCTTGTGTTGCGTCTGGAATTCTGATCAGCTTTACACTAGGTATTCCACTTTCTCTTGAGATGAATGGTCTAGATCTATTTACCTCGAGGAGATCAGTGTTTGCGTATTTTGCCATTCCCTTCGGAACATCCATACTGAATTTTTTAAGTTCCGGAGTTCTCTCTGAGCTTGATGGAGTAGTCCACTGAATATGTGGATACTTTTGCTTTATTGTGGCTATGTTAATCAAAGTTTTACTTTTTTCGAAGTTTTCAAAAGCTTCCCTTATGTTTTGTACCATGACAGGGTCTATATCAACAAAATGTATATCCCGAATCGAGCTCTTCAATCCATTATCTTTACTAAATTCGTGAACAGAAACAGCGTATACCTCAGCAGTCAGTTCTTTTGGTACTTCGAATCCACCTTCAATCAAAAGAATTAATAATCATAAACTATTACAGTATTGTAGAGTTTAGACTTCGGCTCAGGTGAGCTAAAAATTATAGATTGAAATCGAGCATTTCTGCTTTATATTCTTTAGGCTCTGTCCAAAACAAACAAAAAGAAACGCTTGTCCCTTTTATAGCTACTGTAGCTTAAAACTTTAGCATAAAGGATATCATGAATTTGGATAGGTTATCACTTAGGCTTTCGAGACTTGGTATTCATTTTGAATGAGTGAGATCACTTAATAGATTTAAATATGTGAATATCAATTTTTCGAATACAGCTGTAGGTGATGTAACAAAATTGCAACTTATACAAAATTTACACCTTACATTCAGTACCTGCACTAATGGCTGGAAAGGCAATAGACGTTGCTCTCTTTCTTTGAGCCATTTCGAGGGCATTTAAGATTGTCTGCTTTAAATCAGAAAGGCAGTCCATTTTGTTCGGGTACTTCTTCCATCTTGGCCCAATAACATGCAAAACTAACTGGAAGTCTAGATTGCCGGCTGATGTCATGGCTACCTGAGTAACTTTCAACTTTCCATATTTTGCGATATATGCTTTTGATTCCTCAGTTAGTGTTTGACCTGCAGCTTTTGCTATAACTGCTGCCACGCCTGCGCGATGACCTAAATCTTCACTTGCAGCATTCACTATAACATCTACATCAGCATTCAGGATAGAGTCACAATATACATAGACATTTGTTTCCTCTTTGGTTGTACAATGAAATTTTGAAAGCATTTTAATTTTCAGCTCAAGATCCCTGTAAGAAGTTTTTGTTTTTTCACTCTTCTGGGAGGAATTTGGGGCTGACTTAAAAATAAAATAATAATATTAAATCTTCTCTAAGTAAAGGTTCTTACATTGAAATATAAATATTTTTCATGTTATTAATATTGATTCCCAAATCTACCTTTCTGTAGTCTTCATTTGGATCTTCGATGCCTGTTTTGTGTTCTTGAAATTGCTTTTTGCGCAAAATCAAACTATCCATTACCACTGTACTAAATTCATTTTGATGATCATAACCGTAGTTTTGTGCATAGTTCTTGTCGCTGGGTGAGGCATATGAGATACCATTGTTAACGTTTGAGGCGCCTTTGGAAAGAGAATTTTTTATGAAGCTGATACTAGATAATTAACGACTGTTTAAAAATTAGATGTTCACACTACTGTACCTGTATCTAAGATAGGTGGAACCCAACATTCTCCTTCCGTTTTTTCAGCAACTGTAGATGAGTAAACAGATAAGTAAAATTGGGAAAAAAAATATTTCTAAGCTATCTCAAATATTTTTTTTAATAAATTGATAGCCAGGGAAGTCATTTTTTATTATTTATTTATTTTTTGTTTGTTTGTTATATTTGATTAAACAATGCACATATGCTTGATTTACCGTCGTTCCTACAAGAAAAATCTGTAACAATGTGTCCTCCATTTTCTCTGATGTGTTTTTCTTCGCAATTTTCGCATAAGGCCCTTTTGCAAACGATACAGTACCGTCTCACCCCTCTGCGGCACAGAGAACATTTTATGACGTCTTGGGCTGTGTTGGCCATTGTAGAACAATCCATGTAAAATGCCACCAAAATTAAAAGCTATCAAAGATAATACCAAATTATACAACTTACTTGTATTAAACCATGTATACCTATATGTATATATAGAAAATGTATATTATCATTTTTTTAAGTAGGACTGTCAAGGAATATTAGAGTACTCGACTACCATTCGATCATACCGATTAGGCATCGACTAAAATTTCTTTAAGTATCAGTCACATTATCAAGCGATGGGGTATACGATGAGAAACCGATGCGTTTTTTGATGAAAATGGCGTGGTTGCCGGCCGGACACCACTAGTGATCGGACGGTGACTGAGGCCATTTTGCGAATGGGTGGGGTCATCGGTAGGAAATAATTCGTAGTTCGATGCCTCACATCGCTCCTCATCAGCAACCCATCATTAACACATCTTTCAAGGATCGGCTGATGTATGGCCGAGCATCGTCCAATATCCGTTGAATCTGAGGTCATCGGAGGGTTGAGTAGTGTTCAACAGATAACGGCCGATCATCGGTCGATGTTCGAGGAAACATTGGCCCGTAATCGACCGATGTACGATCGATGTTCACCAACGTATGAGCCATGTAATATACATCAGCCGATTATCCTGGAACATCGTTTTATGATTAGCAATGCATCGCTGGGCCTTTGTAAGTCCGACCGGCAACCATGCCATTTTTATCATAAAACGCATTGGTTGCCCATCGTATACCCAGCGCTGAATAATGTGACTGATATTTTAAGGACTACAAGGCCGATGTGGACCGATGTTGGGGCATCGTTAACACCACGGATTACCACCGATTACCACCGGTCTACGGCTACCGGCCGGGAAATGTGACCTAGGCATTACTCGGTTATTCGTTAAAAATTTGCTACCTATTAAAAATTTTAAAACCAAGGCAATAAACTTGGATCCACCCAACTACTTAATTAAATATCAATGATCTTGTACGTAAAACTTGGGGATAAGGCTTGACTGTTTAAAGAAAATTTTTTATATGTCAATTAATGTCTGTTCGGAAAACATGCCTCCAAAAGTTTTGGTGTACATTAAAAGATGTTATAATGGGGAAAAACTTGATGTATATGAAATACGATCGATGCATCATATGCCGACACCGTCAAACATACTGATGACTAGAAATGAAACTTTCCAAAAGTAAATTTACCGCAAAAATGCATCTTCGCAAGCCAAGGGTTTCCGGTCCACTCTGCTCCCCACAAAGGAGAGCTTGCGAAGATGACAGAAATGATGAAAGGTATAGTCCAAAAAAATGCTGCTATCGCAAACATGTTCATGATGATTGCAAATGGAGAGGGCGTACAGAAATTGTTGAGTTTTGTAGATTCAAACTAGAGGTACTGTAAACAATGAGCTCACTAAATGATACCCCCGCCTCCCATATGAATATAATGGTTGTGTCCATGTTTTGCTCTGGAAAATCCAAAATATATGTCAGATCTAAAAGTATAATAGGGGGTGCACAGCATCTTCGCTAGCCAAGGGTTTCTGATACGCTACTCTCCTCATAAACCCTTGGCATACGGTGAAGTGAAAAGACGGGATTGATTTCGTCACGTGTTCTCGAATGTATCAAGTACGCACAGATTGCGTCATCGACAGAAATACAGACGCGTGTTTGAAAAAAATTAAATCAACGTTTTTTTTCAAGAATAATTGCGTTATGCTTATTTATTATTTATAGTACAAATCCAAACTTCTATATTGATTTTTAATCACATATTCAGAAGATATTGGATGACACCGTAGCTATTCATAGAATTACATGTTATCTTACGGATTGTTGTTTACTTGCGTTTTTCATTCCCGAGATAAAAGAGTCAAGAAGTATCCCGAACGCAAATAGCGTCATTTACAAAAAACAATTGCTGATTGGTCGACCGGGGTGTAATGAATCCCAATCAGAACTCGAGAAAAAAAAAACATCTTCTATCAACACCGTATGCCAAAGGTTCATGAGGAGAGTAGCGAATCAGAAACCCTTGGCTAGCGAAGATGGGTGCACAATAGCAATATGTAATAAAGATTCTGTGAAAGTTTCATTAAATTTCCTTCAGTGGTATGAGAGGAGTTGCGGATAAGAGATGGGTACCCCAAAGCGTAACAGACGGACCGACGGACATACCGATTACTATATACCCTCCCGCTTTTCAAGCGGGGGTATAACTAGAGGTGCTGTGAGTAATGAGCTCACTCAATGATACCCCCGCCTCCCATATGAATATAATGAGAGTGTCCATGTTTTGTTGTGGGAAACTCAAAATATGTCCGATCAAAAAGTAAAATAGGAGGTGCACAATGGCAATATGTAATAAATATTCTGTGAAAGTTTCATCAAATTTCATTCAGCGGTATGAGAGGAGTTGTGGATAAGAGATGTGTACCCCAAAGCGTAACAGACAAACGGACGGACGGACATGCCGATTACAATATACCCTCTTAATAATCATAAAGTTTCTTTCGACAATTCCATAAGATACATGTAGTTGTGAGAAATTGAGATGTAATTAATTTTTTAATAATAAAACCGTAATAATGTCCGAGAGATTCCGAGTAGAAAATCCAAACCGAGGCCAAAACGTATGAGAATCGTGTACAAAGCGTGTGAGAAATGTGTAGAAAGCGTTTTGTGCAGCCTTCCGTGTAAACCGTGCAGCCTTTCGTGCAAAGCATTTCGTGTAAACCGTTGTAGCGTTTCGTGTAAACCGTGCAGCGTTTCGTGCAAACCGTGTAGCGTTCGTGTACCGTTCGTTCAGCGAGCGTGTGGGGTAGTAGCATGTCTCAGAGTCTGTAACTTTCATAAAGAATGATTATGCAGTTGTTTCACAATGAACTGGTTGCCCGCGTGGCGCAGTGGTTATCTAGAGCGTCTGCTCTAGAGTCGCGAAGTAAGGAGTCAATCCTTACGTCGCGGGTTCGAATCCCGCTGTTGGACGTGAAGACCGGTCCTTCGGATGAGACCGTATACATCGAGGTCCCGTGTCGCAGTAGGTGCTGGCACGAAAAAGATCCCTTCCTCCTGAATGGCATTGAGTTCAGAGTGTAGGACAAAATTTGCAGCTCTCCAACGGCAAGAGGTGGCGTCTCCATATGAGTGAAATATTCTCGAGAGGGACGTTAAACAATAAACAATCAATCAATAACAATGAACTTGGGGCAGTCACGAGTAATTGAAGTAACTTATTGAGTCAATATCATGTAACTCTTTTACGATAGCTGTAGCACACAAAGAAATTAAGACTTATGAAAACTATATATAGAGTATATAGCTAAGATATGACAATTAAACTGCAAGAGAAAAACTGCACGATATAAGTGCCGGGAAAACAGAGGTTGTATCAATGTACAGTTTCGTTGTTTAAGTGGATGCCAAGGTCACGCAACTTTTATTTTTAGCTCAAACTTGTAAACAACAGTCAACTTGGGCATGCTAAGGTGAGAAATATGTTCTAACAACTTTTTAAAAAGATTACGTACATCAAAATTTTTGGTCTACCTACATATATTCGTGGATAATTGAGACCATGGTAACTATGGAAACTTATTTAACTTTTCTGCGCACGTGTACAATAGGGAGGGAGAAGTACCAGCGTATTTTGCAATATTTTCGTTATGGGACATACTGAAATTATTTTTACTTTTTTTGTCTCTATAAAAGATTAAAAGTGGTGTGACCTTGACATACACGAAACAACGAAACGGTAGATACAACCTTTGTTTTTTCCGGCACTTATATTGTGTAGTCTTTTCTAGCAGTTTAATTTTTCATATCTTAACTATATACTCATAATTTTCGAAAGTCTTTCTTTGTATGCTACAGATATCTTAAAAGAAAGACGTACATGATTTTGACTCATTGTGTCCTTTTAAATATTTTTACTTTTATTTTTTTTCCGTCAAAATAGAATTTTTTTTTTTGGTTTTGAAATTTGTAATTTTCTGAAACCTAATACTTTTAGGAATTAAACAAAATTAACACGGGTTATGCATAAATTCTACATTTGTCAATTTTCCTCTTTGTGTGTCACGATGTCTCTTTAAATGACCTTTCTTTCTCAAGCAGTCGCTTGATATACAATTAGACAAAATTCCTAACGCACCACTTGTTAATTCTTCTTTGTGGATTGAACATTTGCCGGATCTGTGCTAGTGTATATAATATACCATTATTTCCAAAACAGTGGGATTGACAAATTTCTTTGTACTGTAGATTCCTTATTTTTTGCGAGTACTTATGATGGCGAATTGGCTCTTCAACCTCAAAGCGCGAGAATAATAATTCGCGAATGAACGGTTGATCAGGAGATTTTACATATATTTCAGCACCATAGAAATAAAAGCGAGAAATTTTATTTCGCGCGTAGTGCTTCTCGCGAAACTACGCGATAATTAATTCCACGCGTATAATTAGGAATCTACAGTATCTTGAAAAGACCTTTGAATGACCTTCATGTCCGAAAAGCAATTTCCAAAAAATCAAAAAAGCAGCTGTACACTGCGCACCTTTATTGCCCAGATATGAAATTCTTAATCACTATAGGTGGTTTGTGAGGTTGCGACAGGAGCATTCCCCTGGTTATAAATCAAATAACTAACAGGCATTGACTCTCATATAGCCAAGTAATCATCCGTTGCCTT